ACTGATGTTTTACGAGGGATAAACAATTTTTACCTATTTGTACACCTTATTTTTTAGGTAAATCATTTCTGTAGTACTAAGATTGGCATATATATTATATACAAGGGTTTCATAGTACACCAAGTTTACGGATTATTTTTTATTTTTACCAAAAGAAAATTTATGTAAGTACAGGTAAAGGCTAAACGCGTACCTCTCTGGAGTCACTTTAAAAATTTGAATCAGTCTCTTCTGAAAAAATCTAAGAAAAGAATTAGAAATGTTAAAAAATGCTAGAAGGGAACAATATATTTAATTTTTGTCTACAGGAGCATTTATTTTTCTTACAATAAAAATAGAAATACATTGAAAGCTTTTTCTTCTAGAGGGTGACACCAACAAAATATATATCTTTTTCTACTATTTAGTGATTTGAATTAATTTTATTTTTACATATAGTAATTTCGCTCAATTATGTTAAAATAATGTTATCATTTGTTTTTAAAAAAAATTATCCGAAATTAAAAGGTATACACTGAGATGTGAATTATAAAAATATGTTTTTGTTTAACTTTAATATCGCACGGTTTTTTTTTTTGTTTAATGAATATCTCTTCGAGTTAACAATAATTATTAATTCCAGCATGTTAACAACTCTTCAATCCGTTAAAGTATTGTAAATCATTTTTCTTGCATTCACACATGGCTTTGATCTGTCGCACTCTTTGAGGCGTGTTGCAAGAGAAGATTTTCTAAAATATAAGACAATGTCTATGGATGAGAAAAAAACGATTGTGACAAATTGCTGATTGTGCAATGTGGCACAATAAAAGACGAAAACTAGCTTTAAAATTTGTAAAAAATCTAAAATCTTTTATTTATTGCTAAAGCCACCCGATATGGTATAGGCCATAAATTCAGAGCAAAATAAGATTTGGAAATTTATTTCCAAGAAAAAGTTTTTCAATGTGGACATTTTATTAAATCCGAATTTGATTATGTTGCTGCAAATCTGGATGGAATTAAAAAAAAAAACAATTTTTATGATAGAGTTGAAATGTCCATATGGAGCTAGAGTTCTGAATGTAGAAGAAAAAATATGCAGTAGAAAAATAACTTTTAGGAAAAAGGACAATACCATTAAGAAGAACCACTATTGGTATTTTCAAATTCAGGGCTAGCTGTACGTAACACAAATGGATTTTTGCATTTTGTGCTTTTGGACTTCTGCAGGAATAAAAGTGGAGAAAATTCCTCATAATGGCAGCTTTTGGGAAGAAAAGATACAAAATAAAATTCAAAATTTTTATATGCAATATGCCTTGTCGGAACTTGTTGACAGCGGAGCTAATAGAGACATAGAAAAGTACGATACAGAATACTAAATAATTCGTGAGAAATTTGGTTTTTTATTAATATAACGCAAGGAATCTTAAATTATTTTGAATATGTTTATTAATTTAAGAATTACATTTTATTTATTTCTAAAAATGATAGTAGGCGATCCATTTAAGATATAATTAATGTCTTATTATTATATTACGCTTTTTTAAATTTAGGATTTTACCTGTGTCAGTGGCAATTGATGATATATAATTATTATTATACCCAATGTTTTAAAAGGCTACACCAACTAGTGAACCACGTTTTTAAGTCCCCAAATAATAATTTCAAGAATTTGATTCCAATAAGAAGTTTTACTATACAGGGTTTTGTGCCAAAACCAAGTCATTTATTGATATTGTAAAACGCATATGAATCTTTAAAACGTAATTATTTATAACTTTAATAACTTCATACGGTCAAAAATTTTAGCAAACTTATTTAATTTTAAATATAAATTGATTTTCATTTTAACTTAGAAATTTTCGAAAAGTTCACTATACATTTTGGTTGTTGCAACTTTATTGCGCTTAAGTAGCGTTCAGATTAAAATATGAATTGATTTAAGGAGCTTAACTGAAAAACGGGAACTAATGCTTCCATTCCAAAAAAAAGTATTATGGTCAATAAAAGGAATTTTAAACTGTGATATCTTCAAGTTCTTATTTAAAACCTTTAAATATTAATATTATCATTAAACAAGATTTATCTTTGCAAATTGATACAAATATCGAACCTAAGTTTGTTGACATAAACATTATTTTCATAATACAAATAAATATATCTCTGTTAAAGAATGGTCATAATTTATTTAATATATTCATTTAAACATGTTTTTGTTTTTTGTCTAGATGATATTGAATACTAACTTTTTCTATATAACTTCTTATACCCGACATTGTGAGATAAAAAAAACAGACAATTAATTAAGAGCGTACTTATAATTTTTCGGGTATAGGAGTTCCAATGTTATATTGTTTCCCAAATTATGAAAATACTAAAAAATTTAAAAAGCCAATTAAAGATTGTGTTAATATCTACTGAAGAACTTGCTTGACAACATCGTGTTTCTTTTTTGGAAACAGAGAACAGTCAAAAATTGTGAAAATAACAACATATTTTTATTTCAAAAAAATAATAGGTCAGTTTTTTCTTGTTTATGTAAATCGTGTCATTTTCAAGGCAATAAATCAGAAGAAAACTCACCGAAAACCGATTTCAAAAAGGTCTTTTAGTTTTTTTTTAGAAAATGGAAACAGAAAAAAACGTTTTTTAATCGAGTTACAATTCTTTAATAATTTCGCTGTTTCTCTTCGACGATATCCGGTCTCCCTCTTGTTTAAAATCGATAACTATAAACGGATTAAGGTATTTTGTACCTGTTAAAAAATTTAAGAAATATTTTGAAGAATATAATTTTTTATAAAAAATAGTAAACTTTAATAAACATATACAATATTCTAAAGATAAATCACATTTTTGTGATTATACAAATTTTTTATTTATTTTTCCAATATAATAGGGATTGCCCTCTAAAGTATATATAGTGGCTCGCAAACAGTCTGCTTTTTTATGGAAAACTTTTTCTTGTTACTTTTTTCAGAAAATGTCATTCCTGATTAAACTTGATGTTTAATTAAACCTAAAACTTTATTTATTTAAATTTCTGTACCATAAATATAAATTTGGCTGCGCAGTGAACTAGGTACTAAAAAAATGTATATAACCCCATATAGTAGTTTTTAGTTAATACAATTAATATAGTTTATTAATGTTCAGCGATAATTGTTTAACACGGTGTCTAATTTAAAGGATTCTTTTTTTGCTGGAAAGAGGGTACTTCATGGGTGGCCCTATATTTGGTCAAAATCTAATAATTAGGTCCATGAGAAAATCCTCAAACTCTTCATTTTTTATGTATGTTTGTCCGATTTCTATGATTCTTTTTTTTTTGTTAGATATATAAATATAGTATATTATGTACCAACGGACTAAACTTTCACTTTTAATCCCGCCTTTTTGTCGTAAAAGTCTTTTTAAGATGTTTACTAGTGACGTTCGTACCGGGTTTGAACTGAATATTTTTGCAGAAAAATAAGGTACGCCACTGCTTTTTCTAAAAACCAAAATTATCTTTAAAATCCTTATTTATTTTGGAGCAAATTTGGTTTATAGATGTACTTTCGTACGACGCAAACCTTTTCGCGTAAGAAAATAAAAACCAAACATTTTTTTTTAAGTTTATTGAAACTGCGTTTGATATTTTGTTGTATCGGCACTCAATTAATAAATACCCTGTATTAATTGATATTACCTTATTCGAAACAATCGTCTATTTTTTCGTTATTTGTATATTAGTTTTATTTTGCCCATCTTTCACAACTCTATGCTTCTAAATGTAATTTAATCTAACAAAAGCTATTCACTAAATTAAAATATAAAAATAATGTAAAACCGTTTAATAAATCGAACTGCGTTATAATAATATCTCACAATGCAGCAAGAAAAACAAATTCGATTCTGGTTTCCCTAATTTAGGTAACTCTGAGTCACTCAATAACTGATAAACGTCGGCAGCGGGGTAGAATTTTTCGGTTCCTTTGTCTAAACATCGCGCGTTAGAGTTTAGAATTATGTATCCCTCGTATCTACATGCAATTGTTAAAATTATGAATGAATGCGGATTTTGTTTAGTCTCGGAAGTAAGTTTGTAGTATTTAGGCTCCACCCTCAAGTTGTAATTTTTATACTTACTAAACTACCGTTGCCCCGCAGGTCTTTCAGTTTGTAATGTAAATTTTCCTCTTAGATGGTGTTGGTTATAAAATAATTATGAATCCGTCATAATTTCTTACCCAAAACATACTTACCGTGTCATTGAACTCGAACTGAGCGTTAACTGAACGCGAACTGAACGTAGTTTATAAATCCACCTTTAAGCTCATATAGAACGTATACAATTCCAAATTATTTATTTATAGGTGTACGAATGTTTCTTGTTTTTGTTTTATTTGTAAATTGAAACAATTTTAGAATTATTAATTTTTTAATATTATTCTTTTTTTATTCCATTGAAATATGATGAACACATACATGCAAATGTTAATTCAAGCTTAGCTTTAAACAGGAACTGCATTATTATAATAAACAATAAACAAAACACCTTTATGTGTTCTGTTTTTCCAACAATTTCAAACAGTCGGGGATTTTTGTCTTTACGCACACGGTCCGGCGCAGTTTTAAAACCGTTTTCAATTAATTTGAGAACCAGAACAAACCTTATAACTAGACAATGTAACGAAAAAACAATATAGTTTAGTTATATTTGGCTATTATGATTTTATATTTAAGACTAGTTAATTTAATAACACATTGCACCAAAAAAGAATTTAACTCAAATTTAAAAATGGCTGAATACGAAAATTGGTAAATATTTTTATTTTTTTTAATATTATTTTTATAATATCCTTTATTTTGAAATAATAAATGTATTAAGTAGGTACATAAAGTTAGTACTACGAATATTTTAGCTTAAATTAATAAAAATTACAAGTACAGACGCCTTTGCGTCTCTTTGAAATCCAAACGAAATAAACTAAAACTACTAATAAACATGGTAAAAAATCAAAAAATCTTACCTAGGTCGATACCCAAAAAATCAACGATTCTCTGGGTCAGATCATGATGACTTGTACCACTAAACACTTTAATATTAGGCATTGTTTTCGTCTTTTTGCAACTGCTGCTGGCCGATTCTTCGTTTAACACTGACATAGTTTCGGTGGAGGTATAACGACTCTAAAAGGCCAAAACTACCTGTTTGTAGGACGGGTATTACTTATTGAATTTTAAAGCGATTTTAAATTTTTTCTCGGAAGTTTGACCAAGGCTAGTAATAGGTAAGTTAAAATTGATAGTTTACAGGAGAAGAATTTAAATTTATGTGTTTTGTTTTTTTTTTAACGCAGGCGCTCTTTCAACATTGTGTCTACCTTTTCTCACATCTTGGGGGTGGTTACATCTTGAAGCAAAACTTTTTACGCATTTTGTGAAATTTAATTTCCAGAGATTTCTTCAAATTGTTCTATTTTAAACCAATGATTCATCATTAGGTTAACAGTTTGACAGTTTTTTGTGACTGCATTTAAATTAAACTTCAAATTAATGAAGGATTATCATTATGAAAAATTGAGGAAACCTTCTAATGGCTAAAAAACCATGGAGCATAAAATCTCATGCCTAAATTGCTTTAATGAATATGGTTTTAAAAAATCTAAACTTTTTGAAAAGTAGTAGATAGGTACCACCTAGTGTGCATCTTTGTTTTATTAGACGAAAATAATAATGGTATTTACTAGCATCCGTAATGTTACCTATTACGAATATGTTTGGATCACAGCAGAGCCTGACAGAGCCACAGCTTTATTTCACCAGTGTCGGAGTCCAATTATTTTTATTTTTTTTGGTTGGAACTGAACTGTTATAAAAGCTTATGTGAACCAGAAATTAAATAGCTTTATTCAGCAAAAACCGAGATGCTATTTTAAATCAGTTACTAGAAATGTGATCAAATCAAGTGTGGTCGAGGTTCTTACGTCATTATAATAACGTTCTATTAATCTGATTTAAAAATGTTTGGTTTATTGATACTAATACCATTAGGTCAACAATTTTGAATACCTAACAAAAAGTTTTACATTTGTCAGTTTATTTGACATTTCATATCTGTGATGACCACGTTTTTACTGTAGTATGAAGACTAGAGAGAAGGAGGCGAATCGTGTGTGTGTGTGTGTGTGTGTGTGTGTGTGTGTGTGTGTGTGTGTGTGTGTGTGTGTGTGTGTGTGTATGTATTTCTGTTTGGCACTGGTTTCAAAACCAACTGGCCAGTCAATCTTTAATTAATTTTGATAAAGTTTATTTTGTGTTAATTCAATTTTAAGTTCTATCCTTACAATATTTAACAGTTCACATTTTATTTGAAAAATACAAATTTCATAGACTTTCATTGTGTTTCTGACTACGAACTTTTAGCTGGCTTTGGAATACCTGTTTCAAATGCTGCTGGCCATATCTTGTCTCCAAAGCTTGGACGAGAGATGAATAACTGGGTTCTTCTTGGGGGAGTAACTTTAAAACGGTTGCTGCCTGACCTCGCAGTGACACATCAATGAAGCCGCCATCTCTCTCTCTCGGTCCAGCCATTGGCTCTAGCTGCAGCTTCAAATTGGAGTCGATATGTTTCCCATGTTGTCTGACCGTCAAACGTGAGTGGTTTCAGGGTCTTGCTACTATGGTTTTGTGAGACTGGGGGTTGAATACGAATTGGGTCGGTTATAGAAGAAGACAAGGTAGTGTTTTCAGCTTGAATGTTGCTTAAGGAAGTTTGGCTACGAATTCTTCTTTCTAGCTGAACTATTTTAGTTCTAATTTGCCTTTCCAAGTCAATTCTAGCCTTTTCCTGTTGTCGCTCTAAATTACTTTTTAGATTCTCTTGTTGCTGTTCTAATTTAGTTTTTAAATTCTGTAAAGTAGTTTTTAAGTTTTCTTGCTGCTGCTCCTGTTGTTGTGCTAGGAGATTTACTCGACTGTTTAGCTGACCTACCTCTTTCCTGAAGTCTTCTTGAATTTGTACTAAGCCATTTATAATTTCCACCTCCGCTTTTCTATGTCTCTCTTCTCGTCTTTCCCTCTTTTCTTCTTCCTTCCTACACCTTTCCTTTTCCTTCCCTTCTTTCTTCCTACGCCTTTCCTTTTCCTACTCTTCTTCCTTCCTACGCCTTTCCTTTTCCTCTTCTCGCCTTAAACCATGCTGGTGGGCCTGAAGTCTCCATGCCGGCTTCGTACTCAGTGGATCTAGTATTTACCATGAACTTTTACTTTGTATCCCACCGCTGTCACCATTGTTACGCAGGTTTTTTGGTATCACAATTTATTTCAATTCAACTTTTACAATAACTATCCAACTGATAACATTAACGTTTAACGTATATCATAAAACTGAACTCTGACGTCAGGTAGTCGACTTGTCGACTTATATAGCTTGCCTCGACCTTCTAGAATCTTTTTGAACAATCCGGACTTTTCTTTGACAACGAATGACATTTCGAGACATCTCTGGGCTATTCTATCTTCTTCATTTACTCGTACCTTTACTTATGATGACTGCAGCACCCTACAGGGTGCTGCGTAACAATAAGTTTCATGAAATAAAAAATGTGTGGAAGATTTTATGTAGTATGTATTTTATAGAATAATTACAAAGTCCACAAATGTAATTTGATATATCCACGGTTTAACGTAACTGCTATATTATTAGACCATAACTGACCTAATACAAAATAATCAAAGAGTTGTTAAATAGGTAGGTATTACTAGAAAATATATTAGTGCAAAATAACAAATAATATAAAAATCATATTTATATTGACCACTAACTAATACAATTTGATTATTGTGATGTCTTATAAATCGGAATAAAGGAGAAGTGCAGTAAAAATCGGGATATAACGTCACACTTTAATAATTTTACCTGTGCCGCCCGGTTTTGTGGAACGTAACAATGGGCTACCCATGTTTTAATCCCTTTTAAGACTCTGATAAGCGCACGGTTATTCTTCAAAAAAAATGTAAAAAATGCAAAAAAACTGGTTACTCTCTCAATTATTCATCATATTCTATAGAATCTGTTGGAAAAAGTTCATTTGTTTCATCCTGATCATCTAATGATTTTAAATTGACTATTGGGATTGCCCCCATGTCCTTCATTGTTCGAGTTGCCCCCATTCCATATTACTCATATTGATTCTATTGATACTGCCCCTTTGTATCTACCGGTACCTAGTGTAACCGGTATCAAACAAAAATAGAACGTGTCCAACACATCACTTTCTTGTATAATTATCAAAAATATTGAGTACGGCCCATCCAATTAAAAAGTATTTATAATGAGCAAAAGATAAAAATTATTCTATACATTTTTATCCTCATTGCCATTGAAAATACTAAACTTCAAATTTTGCACTTTTCTTGATATTTCTTCATTATGGTCCATTTTAGAGAAATCTTGAATAGAAAAAATTGATAAAGAATGACAACTCTTATTAAAATAATATTCATCTATATTCATAGTACCCCCAAACGGGATGTTTCATATATATTACCCACAGAAGTATTGTTCTACAATTTTGTTTCATCTTTTAAATTAAATTAGCAAAGGAAAGAAACATTTTCCAGTAGGTATCTAAGACCTATTGATCTACAATTATTATGTTTCACCTTGTATATAAAATTAGCAAATGAAATAAAAAAATTTCGTATCTAATTTTAGGTACAAACGGCAACATTGGTGATGAAACAGAAATTACCACGTATGGAAAATATAGCATTAAACCAATGTAATTATTATATTTAAATTTAAATCAAAAATATAATAATTCCTACAAATTTTACATTCCTTATAAACGTCTTATTTCTTTTGTACCTTACCTATCCCAGTCAATTTTAATTTTATTATACCTATGTAACATTTTTGTACATGCGTAAATGATTCCCTCTCACTAAACCAAAGAAAAAAGTGTTTACGAGTTTTTTTATCAAGTCCTATTAATTTTAAAAGATGGCGTTTGTGAATTGTGCAATGACAGTTAAATGTGAACATTTATTAGATTTATTCTAGTTTTGTGTTGGAAAAATGAAAAATCAATTTGATAAGATAAAATTTTTGTTTCCTAAGATAGATAATTTCTTAAATTTATTGAACTAGCGATTAATGTGATAAGATTTGTCTTGTTTTCATTCGAAAAGGTACATTTGACTTTACAGACACGACTTTCAAAATATTTTTTGATCTATAAGATGGTAGTAGTTAAATATTATGAAAATTAATATAAAATTGCTGATTATTCCGTTAAAGTGGAAAATTTAATAAAAAATCTCAAAAATGCACATTTGAAGCAAATTTTTTGACGTATCTGTACACCGTTGCCAAGCGTTTCGTTAGGTAAGAAGATATTACTACCTAATTTTTAAATTAATCTTACTAATATAAATGTAAAAGTTGTGATGTTTCGACGGATGGATATTTATTATTCAATCACGATAAATCGGATCGGGGTGAAATTTTTCACAAAGATAGATTATAGTCTGGAATAGCACATAGGCTACTTTTTATGCCGAAAAAATGTACGGTTCCCGTGTGATAGATTTGTTTTGTTTTCACAGAGCAAGGGATCAGACATTATTTTTGCATAGTGGTAGTGAAACATGAAAATTTGAAATACAGCTACATAAATAAATAATGACGTCTTTCAGGCTTTTGGATTTTCAAATTTTAAGGGGAAGGAACGGGGGTTGAAAATTTGTATGGAAGTATCGATATTTTTAAAGGTAAGGGACGAGAAGGGGAAAATGGAAGGGTGGAAGGGAAGGAAGGAAGGGGAGGGGAGAGTGAAGGTTTGTATATGGGTATCGATTTTTTAAACGTAGGAACTAGAAAATGGGAATTATAGCTACTAATAATCACATTTTAAGGAGGGAGGAAATGGGGAGTATCTTAAAAATAAATTATAAATAAATATAAAACTAAATAAAAATAAATAAAAATAAATAAAAATAAATAAAAATAAATAAAAATAAATAAAAATAAATTAAAATAAATTAAAATAAATTAAAATAAAAATAAATAAACAAATAAAAATAAATAAAAATATATAAAAATATAAAAATATATAAAAATATATAAAAATATATAAAAATAAATAAAAATAAATAAAAATTAATAAAAATTAATAAAAATTAATAAAAATTAATAAAAATTAATAAAAATTAATAAAAATTAATAAAAATTAATAAAAATTAATAAAAATTAATAAAAATTAATAAAAATTAATAAAAATTAATAAAAATTAATAAAAATTAATAAAAATTAATAAAAATTAATAAAAATTAATAAAAATTTATAAAAATTCTCAGTAACGAAAACTGTTATTCACTTTTAATAATTTAAGTTTGAGAAATTCCAGCGAAGTGGGTTCTGGTTAGCTAGTAGTAATATAAATTTATTAAAAAAAAAACTAATTTAATTTTGTTTTTGATTTATTTTTTTTAATTTTAATTAGTTAAAATCACATAATCTACAGAGTAGGGTATCTCAAAAGTTCTATTTTGCTAATTTTGTCGATTT